CTAAGCTTCTGTGACTGAGTGGCGTAAACGTCATCACCTGGCCATCCTTTGACCTGGGACACTGTCTCCCACCCTCCTGTCCCAGAGAGCCCCTTTCTAAGCCCTGAATTCTCCCTTCCCAGGACCCTGAGGCCTTTGATACCTTTGACACCTTCTGACTGACAGGAATTACCATTCTCTGTAACTGTCTTAGGCTGTGCTGCCACGAGGCCTTCCCTAGACACACAGCTGTGTAACAAGTGCCTTCTAAACTGAGAGGGAGGAGAAGGAAGGACATGTAGGAGAAGCCTCTCCAAGTAAGATCATTCTCCAAGTAGCTGGCTATCCCCAGTGGTGTTTCAAATATTCTGATTGGCAAACATTTGTTCCACACCCACCATGTGCACTTTCACTTTTGTATTTGTTGTTTGGCTTAATGGGAACCCTGTTGGAAATAGCCACTGGGGAACTAGCCCTGCCCTTTACGAGCAAAATGAGATCTACACAAACTGCTCTGGAAAGGATGCTGTCTTGGGAAAGGATACATTTGGAAAAGTAGAGTCAGCAAAAGAGAGGAAGACCCTCAGCCAGATGGATTGACACGGGGCCTGCAGGACGGGTGTGAGCATGGCAGACAGTGAGGCTGGGGCAGGGCAGGTTTTAATCTGTTGTTCACAGGGTCTCTATGAGTTAGAGTTGACTCAACAGCACCTAACAACAACCACCCCTCAAACTCTCTTCCCAGAGGCTGCAGGAGACCTCATCCTCTTGGAGTGTCAGAAAGTAGCAAAAAAACTTCTTGGTTGCTACAGAGTTAAACTTGTAAACTTAAGTTTACATAGTTAAACTTGGGTGGCTTAGTGGGTAAAGAGTTGTGCTGCCCACCCGGAAGGACGAGGTTCGAATCTACCAGCCAGTCCTCAGGAGAAATCTGGGCCATCTCCTCCCACTGGAACATCAGCTGTGAGGTGGCTACAACTCAAAAGAGCATAGTGACAATAGACGAACTACTGAGTGGATATATTATTATTAGATATGATAATGTTGTTGTTATGTACCATTGAGTCAGAACCAACCCATAGCTGACCCTCCACCAGGTTTTTAGAGGCAGTAAAAGACACAGGAGGAGAGTACCCATCTTTCACCTATAGAGCAGCGGGTGGATTTGAACAGTGTACCTTTGGGTTAGCAGCACAATTCCATCCCACTAAGCCCCCAGGGTTCCCTACCCATCCCTGTTTGAGAGTCTTCATCTTTCACGGGATGCCCTTTTTTGCAGGCACAAATTGTCCATCCTTTGTCTTTCTCCTCTATCCATCTCACTCTTCTCTCTGGGGTTGTCCATGTCCCCAAACTCCCAGTCACTTCCCACCTAGGCAGTTTCACTGCCTCACAGTCAAATCCCATTCCACACCATAGGATCACATCTTCTGAGCAACCTATCAAGGTTAATAATAATAATTGCCGAAGTAATAATTTTAGGCAGGGGGAAATCAACCTCATCTTGCTTGGATCCACAACTAACACCTTTGATAGCAGCAGACAGGAATTAAGGAGATGCATTGCACTGGGAAAATCTCTAGTTAGGGACCTCTCCAAATTACTGAAGAGTAATGATGTCATTTTGAGGACTAAGGTGTGTCTGATTCGGGCCATAGTCTTTATGATTACTTGCTATGCATCTGAGAGCTGGACAATGAATAAGGATGACAGAAAAAGAATTGACACATTTGAGCTGTGGTGTTGGAGAACAC